TCACTCGAATGAGAAACCGTGTCGATGTCCCGAGGTGACACACGGTATCTTCCTCTAGAGCTCTCATTTAAAGCACATTTGGTGTTTTCTGAAGTGCCTTGTCTAGGCCTCCTGCAATTGTGCACGTGCTGAGTGTGGGGGAGACACAGGACTCTCCTATGCTCTTCCCTCTTGTTAACTCCTCTTATAAAGTGGGTGGGGTCATTATGCCCATCTAAGGGGGAGAAAATGAGGCAGAAAGAGCTCAAATGGTTTTCCTGAGTGTCAATGGCCATAAATGCTAGAGCTGGTCTTGGAAGCCAGATGATGGAATTGGGGTTCCATAGTCTTATCCCCCACACCGTGCTTCCTCCCTCTTGAGACAGTCAGCTTTGATGTCACTATGCCCCTTTTAACAGAGGTAAGGTAACAGAGAGAGAGACCACACACGTATCACTCACGTCACGACTCAGGTGAGGAAGAAGGCTGCACTCTCTGGGGCCAGACCCACAGGTGCTGGTCTAGAGGACTGTCTGCCCCCTGCTGCCTCACACACTGGGCTGGGGGTAGAACTTGTCTTTCCACCTGGATGGAGGGAAGGGACATTGCTCTTGAGCCTTGTGGCCTGTGACCTTTGCAGAAAATTGCTGTCACTGCTGGATGTAAAACCACCACGTCGGCTGTCATGGTTCACTGCCTGCGCCAGAAGACAGAGGATGAGCTCTTTGATTTGACACTAAAAATGGTAGGTGGGTGCCTCCTAGTACCCCCAATCTGCAAGCATGTCCCTAGTCTTTGTCATTACAGCTGTCCCTGTGCCCTGGATAAACTCCCTGGGTCAGTTTCTTACCTCTCCCGGGTCTCTGGATCTGAATGGGGAATTTCCTTTTTCTGATTTTCTTATCACATTCCTCAAATATCCAAAGAAGTCTGAAAATAACATGATGAAAAGTTGTGTAGGAAATTTATCAAAACTTAGCACTTCACCATTCTTGTACTTCAATGTCTTTGTAAGAAATTATATATTACCCAGGGATAGTTACTATCCTGAATTTGGGGGACAGGGATATTAAGCACAAATATTTCAGAAGGATGTCACTATTTATCTTGGTTGATGTAGAAACTATCTAAATTAAACCTAATGGTGGTCCAATAGGCAAGATTTTGCAAAACTTTTCTTTAATTGTGAATGTAGGATAGCCATTCAGCCACCCATGCATTCATCCACCATCTTATTATCCGTTTGTCCATCCACTAATCATCCAATTCATTGGTATCCTTTCATCAATCTTTTATCAACCCATTTGAGACACTTTCTTCATCTGTTTTCTTGATGTATCATCTAGCCACTGGATATCTTCGCTCCATCATCCATTCCTTCAAAATCAATAATCCATCCACAACCTACCTTCTGGTTATCATCCACCTATCTATGTATCTAGCCAGGTCACCCATAATGCAAGTATTAACCAGCTCCATCCATCCATCAATCCATCCATCCATCGATCCATTCATCCATTGATCCATCGATCCATCGATCCATCCATCGATCCATCCATCCATCCATCCATCCATTGATCCATCCATCCATCCATCCATCCATCCATCCATCCATGCATCCATGCTAAGTGTATTGGCAGGGAAGTGGCAGGGGAGGTTGCAGGTGATGCAGACTTCAATCAGACATAATCCTTGCTCACAAGGAACCACCCAGGAAGAAGCACACCCATATAATTAGCAGGATGAATATGGTTTGAATACAGAGAAGGGAAACATTCCTTAGAGCCATCAGGGATGCTTCTCTGAGAAGGTGACATTTGAGCATTCATAGATGGCTATGGCAGTTGTCTGTCGTCACAGGGAAACACAATAGGACAAGCAGCCAGAGAATGCAGCATCTATGCCCAATGGGGGCTTTGCCTTTTGTGGGGTAAAGATGTGAATTATGAGCTCAGCAGTAGCCTGAAGCCTGGAATCCCATCTGGATCCTGGGGACTTGAGGATAGTCCTGGAGCCCCAGCACAGGCCTCTGGCCCTGGTCTCTGCTTCCATTTCCATCCACTGAGTCCATTTGGCCTTGGGACATGAGTCTTCGCTGATCACGCTCTACTAAGGAGAGCAAAATGTTCAAAGAATTAGAACAAGCTGTATTTTAATACCGAAAAGAGGCAGATATTTCAGCAATTCTCCATGGGGTGTGATATTATAAAGAGAGATGGTGACTGGAAAACTGTCATCTAAGTTCTCAGGACATACTTCTGAGCTGTTCTGAGATCTCGTGGAAGTGCTTACATGATTCTCCACTGCATCTGATGCACACACACACACACACACACACATGCTGTCACACATGCACACACACTCCCACACACACATGCACACTCTCTTGGCTGTTAGGGCATCAGTCTAAAATGCAGGAGCCCTCACTCCTCACCTCCCCCATACAGGTCAGACCTGTCAGCCATGGTGCAATATTACAATCACCACAATCTTGGGGAACACACA